AGTAGCTTTCCTAGTTGATTTGAGGTTTCTGTCTCTTGATAAGTCTTGTTTTTATTACAGCAGCAGTTGATATTGTGTTTTTAGATTTTCTGCAAAGCATCTTATGTTTTGATATATCATAAAGATTTTATTTTATTATTAATTGCATGTGTTATTCTTATACTGATGTCCTTGAGATTAAGAGAGTATAGACTCATGGCAGGTGTTGCTTTGATTTCAGAGACAGACAGCTCAGAAGCGATAAAAAATTATTTTCAAGAGTAGACAAATAAAAACAGAACCGTCCATGTGGACTGAAAATCCTATCCAACTGTGAAAAGTCTGCAGCTCATACATCAAAAATAACTTTCAGGACAAAGGGATTTCAGTGGAGATTGTTGTTTATGAGCTCAAACTACAGAAAAATGTCAGTTCTGAGAATTCTCTATAGAATTTTCATCAGTGACAGTGTATTTGTGCTAAATTCAACAAAGGTAAACAAACCATTTGAATTGACTTTTAAAAAAGTAAGAAAGTAATTTGACTGGATTGCTGCCCCCTTATTACTGCCTACTTTGAGACACACAGTTAAACTAATCTGCCACAGGTGGACTGGTTGCTACATGGTCTTATGCTGTATATGGTTCATCATCTTTTAAAAAGGCTCACAGTTGAAGGAACACACTGATACTGTATGAATATTAACTGCCAACCTTTCTGACTGGTGCCATTAATGAAATACCATATGACAAACTGCTGTTATGGTGTCCAGTTCTCTGACGCTGATTTGACGTGTACTCAAACACTGAGCTGTAGAACTTGTTAAAGTGTCATTTTGATGGCAACTGTGGCACATGCGCTGCATAATCAACTATATAATCCTGGTTCAATGAGTACCCTGCATAAGATGGATGCATCTAATTAAATGAAGAGAATGGATTTTAATTGGCATACCTTAATGATGCAGCAAATATTTACACATAATTTGTAAAATTATCATGTTAGTTTTTACAAAATTTTATAATAAAGTCAAAAGGTTTCTTTGTCCTTCAGTTGATATATTTTTTTAAAATCTCTCTCCTCTACCGACTCACCCCGACCGGTCGAGGCACACGGCTGCCCAGCAACAGCTGGGGTCTGTCGAAGGTTTCTTCTGTTAAAGGGAGTTTTTCCTCCCTGCTGGTGCTAAGTGCTGCTCAGTGGGGATTTGTTGGCTTTTTCTTTGTAACACTATATGGTCCGGATCTTACTATGTAAAGCACCCCGCAGTGATTTTTGTGGTGAACTGGTGCTATACAAATAAAAACTGATTTGAAGTATTGTTGTTTGTATTTTTACACAAGCTGATAATACAAAGTTACAGTAAATATGCACTCTGATAAGTAAATATTTACAAAACATGTCCATTTATATAAAATAGTTACCAATTACACATCCTGCATGTCCATCTATTCTGGTTAAAGCCTGCAACTCTCATATTATTTCAGCATTACTTTATATTTTAATTTAAAATGACACATTTTATATCTATTTATTTGAAATAAACATAAAGACCATTTACATTGTGAACTAAAAGTGAGTGTTGAGCCAGAAGTTACTCAGATAATTAGCAATGAGGAAAATATTTGACACACAAACACATAACCATACTGTTCATTAAATAACAAACTACCAGCAAAAACAATTAACATGTAATGTGTAACTGGCCTTACACATTTTTGATACAAAATTTGTGCAAAATATTCCACAGTATTATCAGACACTTATTTTGAATGAGCTCCAGGACTGTATTTTCTTTTTTAAAGCAGTGTTGCCAGAGTTGACAGGGGTGTTCATGAAATTCTGCAAGGTGAGTTTTCTCTCACTAAATCCTGTTAAAAGGATTAGTTCACTCAAATCACAGATATTTTTTTGATTTAGTCCTGGTGTTAAGGTTTTATTTTTCCAGTTTTTTGCAAATAATATGGCACAAAAAATGGATGAATGAGATTTTCTTTGTGGTGTTCAACAAAGCTCTAACACTACCTCATTATTAGGGTTCAGTGCGCAGGTGACCTCAGGCAGATGGCTGGAGGGCTGAAGAACAGAAGACCCAGAGACCTTGGGCTGATGGCCAGGAGGCTGAAGAATGCAAGATCTGGAGACCTTGGGTGGGTGGACAGAGGGATGAAGAATCAAAGAACAGAAGAGTTTTGGAGGGAAGTGACAGGACCAGAGAGAGGGAAGAGGCCGCTCAGAAGCTTAATGACAGGACCAGTCAGGAAGTAAAGGCCACTGAGGAAGGCGGTGACAACATCCATGGAAAAGCTCCCCAGAAGACTGACTTTGGCATCTGTGGTGGAGTTGCTTGAGAGAGAGGTGATGTGGACAGGCACCCTCTGGGAGGTGACATGGAGGCTGGTGGCGAAGGCAAAATCCCTGTGTGGAAGAAACTGGAAGACTGCGCTAGGGAACAGCAAACTCTAAGATGGCATTGGAAACCCTCAGGTAGGCAAACAGGACACAGGGGCTCAGAGCATGAAGCAGAACACACAGATGGCACAAGAACATGGCAGGCAGCAGGCATATGTAAGTCCATACGGTAAAAAAGGACTGACCCTTGTATTATCAGCCAATGGCAGTGAAGCGTTACTGTACATGTTAATGTGTGTTACAGTCACTGAGCTCAGTGGCTTGCGTATATTGGTTTTTTCACTATCTGAGGTTTGCAGGGCACCGTATTCATTATTAGGCTTATATTATTTAGTTGTGCCCACTTTCTTTTTTTGGCAATGGTTAAAATTTCAACAGACTGCACAATTAGCGCTACCACCTGTTTATCTTGATGAACCAACACCCAAAATTTGCCCAATCTGTAGTGAATAGGAAATAGGAAATGTCAAATGATTCACATGTTCCTCTGTAAAATTTATGAGATTTACACTATTTCAGCAGAAGTCCACATACTGGGAGGCTGTGTTGTTTATACAGCTAAACCTATACTTAATTTTATGTAGTATAAAATGCAGCTATATGCAAAGTTGTACCTCTCTGCTGTGTGTCAGCTAAATCACATGAAGTTATGATTCACACACACACAGGTGATTTACAGGCATGCCATGTTTTCACTTGGAAATTAAGGAGATTAGGTTTCATTTTCCACCACAGTAAAAAAACTAAGTGAACAATTTAGGAATACATCTGGAACAATATACAGCATATGTTTTGTTATTTTAGCTTAGCCGCACTTTTTATTATCACAAAAATGTTTGTATCACTCTAATGTTTTGCCTCTACAACAATAACTGCATCCTTACAATCTACAGAAGAATCAAACATATCAAATATAAGCTTACATTAAAAATGCGTTTGACCAAACACCAACACAGGTTTAAATGCATCTTAAGACATTTAACAAAATTTAAAAAAGGAAAGATTTCTTTATTTTGTGTAGTTACAATGCCAACGACGAAGCCCAGTTTGAGTCAAGGTGGAGGGTAGCCATTTCAATATTTTTTTGTGAATTTTGCAGTTATTATTTATACACAAAAAGCAGTGGGGTGTGTTGTACCAAAGTCACACGTGTTAAACTTCTAGTTAATAACTGAGCAACGACCTCTACTCTTTGAAATCTTTCGCAGTACTAACCAAACAGGTTGATTCCAGTTAGCAGATGCTACTGAGCAATTACCTGGGTTATATTAACTATAATTGCTTAGGTAAAGCTAAAGCTGAATATGAATTTTCTGCCTGTTGGCTTCAGCAGTGGGTCTGATAAATCTGAACTAGCTGGCTAGATCAACTACAGTTTGTACTTTAAAGGTTAAGATCAGTCATTTTCTGCCTATTAACAGTATTTTCAACACTCCCCATACAAAGACTAAATTGATAATGTATTGCCTCTACTCATGATTAATGTCTGTCTATCAGACAGTCCTGGATTAGTTTATTCGTCTGTGCTGCAGACCTCTGGTGATGTTTAAAAACAGTAAAACACACCGCTGCACTGGGTGACATATTACCACATTAGCAAACCCCAAATCTACATGTGAGGAGCTAGCGGACTGTAACAAAGCAGAGAGCTTGTGCAAGATCTCACAGTTGACTCTGAATCATGCTAACATCAGGTAATTATGACAGCACTGAGCCTATGGGGCAACATAGTTGGGTCTAGGGTTTGGTAATGAAGAAACATGTCATCCAGTGCAGCGGTGTGTTTCCCTGATGTATTTTTTAATCATTTCTGAACAACAACAGAGCTCTATCACACAGACAAACAAGCTAATCCAGGACTGAGAGCTAGCAGCAACTGTGAGTAGAGGCCATTCTGTTAGTTTTAGTCTCTGTATGGGGGGGATTACTGAGAGTACTATTAATATAGAAAATGACCAGTCTTTGCCTTTAATACCGACTGATTTATTTACAAATTTAAGCAATCTGAATCAAGTATTATTGCAATCTGTGAGAGATTTTGATGTTAGCAAAGCACTTGCATTCTTAGCCAATATCAATTCTCTCATTGTATAATTTTAAATTGTTCAATTTCCACTGTTTCCAAAAACCTTGCCTCGCTACCTCACCTACATATGACAGAATCAGTGCAGAATCCAGAGGGAGACAGTGAAAGAGAAGGAGAAAGTGCACTGGCTCCTGAAAGGCAGCAGTCTATGCTGGGATGCACAGGCTGAGCATGGAGGATAGCACTGAGATGTTAGGGCGCTGCTCCCTGGCAGGAGGCCTGTGCTGGCATTGGCTCTCTACCACAGGAAGCCCTTTCTGCTTTTGAAACTTGGCAGGAATTGGAATATATGATGGAACAGCCCCACAGGGCATTTGTGTGATAAATGGATAAAACAGGATAAAGTGATGCTCACAGCTATTGGCTTATGTATATGAGTCAAATCCGAACTAGACAGCACTGATGTTTCATTCATTTTTTTGAATGTTATTCTGTGGCTGCAGATTGTTCAGACTGTCATTTATTAATTAATTTTCAAGTAACAACAGAAATGTATGGATGAAATGAATTACAGCGCAAACACTTTTTTTTTTACAAGCAGCAACAATTGATCAACAGCATCATTTTATTTTCTTGCAAAATAATTCAATTAATAAACCTGAATAAATCTCTTTATTTCCTCACTTTTGTATCATTTTTTCAGGAAGAGGATTAACACATCATAGTCAGTCAGTCTCTTGCAATGAAGTATAAGTTGCATGGAATATCACTGTAGTCAGCTTAATGCATTTCAAATGGATCTTGAATACTGTACATTTTCTTTAGAGAGCACACTGCATTTGGTTTGTGCTGCACAGGATGCACAGCATCTAAATGAGTTTCAGCCTCTCTTTAACACAATTTAAGGTCCAGAATGGGTGTCTTGATCCTTTTCTGTCTCTTGAAGGTGATGATGTTTTCTAATACCACTGACCATAGGTGTCTGCTTCCTCGCCCTTGAGTGATAAAGAAGAAAACTTATGAAAACATATTATAGGACTGTGGCTCCTCCTGAAACACGGGGGCTATTTATAATACAGCAAATCTGATGAGGATTAGTGTGAGTTTTAAAGCTTCTACATTTTGAATGACCCCAGAAATATCTTGGGAAGTGCAGAAATATTTACTGGTAGTGCGAGATGCTTCTCTAATCCTTCTGGACATGACTTACTGAGGTTCTTCTCACTATAATTTTCTATCCTTGGTAGGCCTGCAAGCACAACATTCATATATTCTCCCTAACCCAAATGGGATTTTCAGGTTTTTAAATGTATGTGCTGGGAGGGTGTATTGTGAATCAGCTACTGAGAGAATTTTAAATTGGTAGGCATATGGAAATGAAATGGAAAACTGAACTGTAACAAGTGGTTTCTTAAGACGTGGACAGAATTGGGACACCAGGTGCCTGGACAGGCAGATGGGGAAAAAAGGTGTTATGTGAAGCTGTGAACAGTTTTATAGCAGTGTTAGTTTCACTGAAAATAAAAAAGTAACAAAAGTTAGACAAAAACTAAATAAAAGTGATTGAAAACAACTGTGATTATTAGAATTTTGGTCAGTGAATAAAAACCAAACAATAATGAATGAACTAAGTGATCAACTATTATTTTAATTAAGTCTTCAACCAAAGAATCATAAACTATATCCCTGAGATGAGTAAAACACTGCCAAGAACCAGCTTCAGAAGCTGTGTTAACTCACCAATGGACAAATAACCAACCAGTGTATTAATGGAATAAACACACACATTTATGAAAAGGTAAGATAATGTTAACATAACATTATCAGTCAACATTCCCAAGTTGTTGTGTTACAGGGAGTTACATGCTGAAACCTTTTCCTAGACTTCATTGAGTCTCCTGTGGTTGTCTGGCAACCTCAAAGTGGCGTCAGGGTTCAAGTCACATTATAGCAATCCAGCCTGGTATGAACAAGGAAACAGTGCTGTTTTAGCTAATCTGTATTTTTAGATTGTATCTCTGATGACTGATGGTGTAGCTTCATGTCACATACAGATGAAAAATGAATGAATGAGACTAAGGCTGTGTTAGAAATAACTCCCTATTTACCACATAGAGTTCCATAGTAGTGAGTCCTAAAACCCAGAACTGAGTTTTCATTTTGGCACTTCGGTTAAATCGCCCTGAAGTCAGTGGTTTGCTTTGAGTGGGTTTTTGGTTAGATGTCTGCAATAAGGTCTGTGTTTAACACAAGGTCATTACATTTTCAGGTTTTATTCCATGACATGAAATATGTCAGTAAATGCCCAATTGTGATTTTCTAAAATCCTTTTACATCTTAAAAAAGGTGGTTGCTAAAAAGTGGCTAAATGAGAATACAGAGGCTGTTGAGGATATTAAATTTCATCTCGCTGAACTAGTCCACCTTTACAGCCTCGTTGTCCTTAAACTTAGTGTCAAAAACCACTGTTTGTCACAGAGCTGATTTTCTGCAATTATTCAAAAGCCTATGGAAAAATCTCATTTATGTCAAGGAACTCTCCTCCCCACTGCAATGTTCTGCATTTTATAAACAACAGGTAGGTAAATGTTCTGAATATACTACTATCTACTGAGTTAACTAGTGTCTGTTATGTAGAGAGTAATGACTGAGGCAAAGGAAGTAAAATAGATGGAGAAGTCTCTAACTTTGCTGGCTAACACTCGACCTAAAATATCAAATGATTATTATGTGACCAAAGTTAAGATATTTTCCTTAAAATGCTGTAACAAAAACTAAAAGCTGAATCAAAATCAGGCACCAAAATTAACAGTGCTTTTCCATGCTTATACAGCAGCAGTAGAAAACTGTAAGAGTGCTTAAGTCAATGTTACATCAACAGTCTGCGATCCATAAACACTGCCGAGCACCCCTGCTATGAAGAGCCAGACAGTGCTGAGCCAACTGATGATGTGGATGGATCATTACCCACACCCTGAGAGGCAAGAGGCAGGAAAATCTTTACCTTAGGCCTCACCATTCATACTCCCTTTCACACAATTCAATTAGATGAATGTTGTTTATAGGCAGTTCTGGCCCATTGGAATGCCATTATTGCTTCCTCTGTCGAATTCAGCATTAGCTGCCCTTCACTGGAGCTGGTCTTCCAAATGTCATGGAGCTTATGACTTAGGAGATGATTAACGAATGTTTAGAGATGCTCCAGACACACCTCAGTGGTTACAGCTTTTAATGAGGACTGGCTGTAACAGCCGCCGGACCTTCGGCAGCATTGTAGAACAACCTCACAGCTGCTGTAATGGACACTTGGGTTAAACAGAAACCCAGAGTGCTTACCTGATTTCAGTTGTCAATGTCTGATACGTGGTTCTCTATCTGAAAGGGAGAGCACAGAGAGGAGGTTAAAATCATGGGTACACTGCAGCAATTTTAACTTAGCACACAGGTTGTATTTAACCTTTTCTAAAGGTCATTGCTGAAATATGCTCAACAAGACCAGCCATACCTACTTGCAGAATAGTCTTTGGTGTACATTATCACAATCTGTGATCAATATGACCTTCAGGAAACAAATAAATCTCTTTGACCATATCTGTGAAAAATAATCTCCTCCATTAGCAACAATAGAAAACCTTCATCAAGGATAGCATGACCGTGCTCACCTGGTTAATGGCTAATAAATACAGCATAATAGAGAAAGCTTGGTCAAAAGCACAGCCACAGATGTGGAATAAAACTACATGGCTGTTTGGTGTAATGAATACTTTTGAAAAAAAATAAATATGGGTAATATGTTTTGGCTACTGCATAATAGGAAACACTGTGGGTGTTTTAAAGCCCCCAGCATGGAGATATTAAGCTAAAACATTATTTCATTAAAGGGACATGCATTTGAACACAAGTGTGAATGGAAATAGCAATGAGATATTTTAGTTTAAATGATAAATGAACATGCATTTTATAATATTCACAACACAAAAAAGGAAGAAAATCACTTTCTTCAGTGAAAAACAATGTGAACACAGTACTGCTGGCCATAGAGACTTCATCAGACAGCCAGCTGTTGTTAAAACTTTAGTTTATTTTCACATCTCCCCAGTCAATTTTTCATTAAAAAATGCAATATTTCACCAATCATTGTGGTTATAGGTCACATTTTTGAGCACATACAGTACAATGTGCACGACCAAGTTTTAAGCTTTGAAGAAGGCAATTTCTCGGATGAAATCAGGACTGAAAATAACTGCTTCAATAATTGATTGTTGGTTGGACAAAATAAGTATTTTAGACGCTAAGAAACTGTGAAATGATTTCATTGTCGTTTAATATTTCACAGATCCAATGGTTCATTGATTAATCGAGAAGATAAACAGCAAATTAATTTCTGAAAATAATAATTTGTTACAACCTTAAGGGACATTAATATTTTGTGTTTCATCATCTTCCCATGTCCACATGCAGGCCAAAAATGTGTGTCCTTGCAAAAATGTGATAACATTTTTAATACCTTCTTACAAAATGGTGCAAAAATAAAAAGCAAAATATTAAATTTTTTTTGACAGATTGACTTATTTTGTGCCTTTGTAAAAACAAACTCTCCTATAGACCCACTGCTTCATAGACAAATCCACATTGGCCCCTAGAGTTCTTTTCTAAATCCTTCTCCTACGTATTGTGAGCTCTGTGTGTGAGCTGGTGCAGATCCTTTCTGTCACTGTTTGAGCTGGGGTCGACAGGGATACACTGTCAGTCCAGGCACCCTCGCTGTTCACTTGTGAAGCCCCACTCTCACAGATCTGTGGCCATGAATAATTCTGGAAGATTAACTTTCTGAAAGTGAAAACTGTCTGCTTACGTGAGATCTCCCAAAGTGCTTTGCTCTCTCCCTCCCTGTCAGCCCTGTCAGTGGTTTCTCTTACCAGATGGTGGCTGCCGTCCTCATCATAGTCATCCTCGCCTCCATCGGTCATCTCTCCTGCCTCGACGTCCAACGCCCCCTCCCCGGCCTCCTCCCCGGAATTTTCTGCCGTCTCTGACACAGACTCCTCATGCATGGAGTTGCAGTTGTTGTCGTACTTTCTCTGAGCCTCTGAGTGAGGAAGGAAGTCACAGAGAGAGGTCAGAGTGATCATCGGCTCAGTTTTACGTGGTTCACATCGTAGTGGCAAAGTTTACATGACTGTCTTTTTCTGTTTCCCAGTTGTGCAGAAGGACAAAGACCTGGCCCCCCTTGTGGTCCCTAGAGGTCCTGCTGCTCTTTACTGTCAACTGGATAGAGTGAAAGTGCATCCAGACAGGGAGCAAAGCACATTTTCACATTAAATAATTTGCACCAGTTCATTGTAGGACTGTGTTTATTCACCCCAAACAGAATCCATGTAGCTGGATTTTAGCTGTATGTGAACTAGCAGCAGACACAGCGACTGAGTCTGTAGCAGCATGCTTGTGTTTTTGTGTTCAACCAGAAACTCTAGTTCTTTATGTTATTACCACCCAGTTTCTCCCCTTTTTCTAAAAAAAAATAAAAAGGTTAAATTTATCTTAAAATTTACAATTAAAGAAGTCATCAATCATCTTCAACCAAGACATGATGTGATTTATTTGGTTTTCAGCTGTTAAAGGGGAAAATAAACCAGTCCAAACACAGTTGTTGAAAAATTGTAACCTGCACTTTGTGGCACAAAGTCTAAATGACCTTCACAGTGAGCTGCACATATACTGCTTTGTAATGTGAGGCATCTATAAAGACCTCTCACAGAAACTGAGTCAGCATGGCATTGATACCTGTCTGCTGTTATGACAGAGTGCTCTGCTGCTCCTATCTCCCACTATGTCAGTAAGACTTATGGGCAGTGTGGGCGCTTAATTTCCCTCCCTCTATCCCTACCAGCTCTGAGGCTGCTGTCTTGCTCCTCACCAGACTCTGCTTTCTGCTGCTTCTCAATCTTCTCCAGGCGTCCCAGCAAAGAGTCAATCTTCATCTTGATCTGTGTCAGCTCCCGTTTGATAGTTTGAAGCTGGTCCGTCTTCACTGCTGAGGCACAGAAACAGATGGCTCATTTATAGCTACTTAAGTTAGGTTTACTTTGCCCTAAACACGTTTTAATGATGGCTGCCTCATTCCATTCATTACAGGCTGCATGCTGTCATCTGTTTACGCTCTTAATTTTTAGTTTTGGGTATTGTATCATTGCTCTGAGTCACACTTCCTCAGGGAAAAACATCTCAGTCTTGCCAACTGCAAAGTTACCCAGCTGAAACTGTGGACAAGCTGTTTTCAATTTGAAGATTAGCACACAGCTAACATCCACCATGGAGTACAGCTCAGATTTTCATTATTTTAATAAATCAGGATTGATTTTTAGCGTGAATGCTTTGACTAGAAAGAAACCACTATGCAACTAACTGTAAATTCTTAGAAAGATTCCTTTAATTTGTAAATAATTCAAGGGTAAACTGAGATACTTTAAATTTGTACATGTCCTTAAGTAAAACTAATTAAATGTCAGTAAAAGTGAATATTTTTGGTGCATTGCATGTCAGATGAACATACAAAATATAAATGTTCTGCAGACAAGCATGCAATTTAAAACACAGAAATAATCTGTATCAATACAACAATAATCCTAATAGTATCCTAATCATAATATTTCATATTGCTGCAGATTTCCAAGGAATTCAGAGTGAAATGTTGACATTTATTCATTTGCTTTTTTTTGTGTGCAAATTTTGCTAAATATTATTTTGGAACTGAAATGTGAATAATCGTTTGTTTTTATTGTAATATACAGTACATTATATATTTTACACAATAAAATTCAACAATATTTCTGTCAATATTTGTAAAACTATATTCTTTAGACAAAAAAGTATGCACAAAAGCATTAATATCAATGTGTTTTGATCTCATGTTATATACTCCCTGCACCCTCGCCTGCTCATAGCCTCACGTAAAGTACTGCATGAGCAACAAGGGGGCACAATTTGCCCTCCCACTGCTTCTGTTTACTGCCTTATGAATAATTGCTTTCCCTTTCATTCTTTGTTCTGTGTCTCAGTGTTGACAATGAAACACATCTGAGCTTTGGGTAAATGAAGCGTAACTATATTATGTCAAAGTATGGGTCACATGGAAATAACATCATCGAAAAATAAAATAAAATATTTATTTGAAGGATGTCACCATTAATTCAGTGTGGCCCGTGTTACGGTTGCAGAAATGAGGGTGTACAGTGCTGCTTAGCAGCTTGAACTGAGCAGATTAAAGATTTGGGACCATAAAGTATAAGATAATCATATTCCTTAACCCCCAGCATTTGAAACGTGTCATCTTGTGAAAAGAGGGGAGAAACAGACACCAGAAGATGAGAAGACACTGACACCTATCAGACGAGTGCCTGGCAAACAAACCCACGAGATCCCGTAAGACTTCAGCTGGAAAATCACAAGCAGGAGATGTTCATAAAATCAAAACATTAGTTGCCTGATATCATGTTTGCATGTGGTCCTTTGACGTATATTTACAGTACACCCACACCACATCACAATGCTGTGTCTGTGCACTACTATGTATGAGATAAACTGATGCATAAAACATAAACATCTGTGGTTAGAGGAGATGTCAGTGCATGATGAAAACTTCTGATATATTATCTTACTGTATACTAAATTCCACAAAAGGCATTTTAATCTTTCACTAGAATTCATACCAGAAAAACAATAGGTCCGGATCCAGTGCACACTGTACAATATTTGTCAATGCTTTCTTTGCTTGTAAGAAATCAGCAGCATGATTAATGTGTGCAGGAGACAGAGAGAGAAGGGGTATACAGTATAGTAGCAATGTAAGTAATATATCCTAAGAACTGGTCTCACATTATTTTGTAAAGCAGCCATCAACCCTGAAGCAGCATAGAGGTAGAAAATTGACCTTTTTGGAGGCAACAAAAGGAGAAACAGAACTTATCTCAGCGGTGGGGCACACTGAAGTGTCTCTGTCTCCTTCCCTGTATCACCTGCTTCTATATGCACAAGTCAAAACCCACAAATGCACAGACATACAGTACAGTATATCCACTCACGACCTTATTCTAACATTATCTTAGCCCCCTCTGGGCACCTTACTAGTCATGCTTTGATGATAAGAAAGTGTGGAACAGTTTCTAATTTAATCACCGCTTCCAGGCTTTTTTCCTTTTGTGCTATCAGACACATAAGCTGCAGTAAGAAAAACATACACAACCTAATCCAACATCGTTTCATCAACACCACATCTTTAGATACTGTAGCTTGGGTTGAAGGAAATGGGTGGATAATGCTGCTGTTATTGAATAAGCATCAGGAAAGATTTAGGGAATGAGTGGAAGATCTAATTTTAGGACCACATGATGAACCGCAGAAGTTTTATCTATGATGTAGTAGAGGATCAGTTGAATCACTGGTCTGCGAAGATTAAACTGGACAAAGAGTTTTGGGGCTGGAAATGTTGGTGTAATTCAGACTACAAATACTTAAATTACCAACTTGGACATACAGTATGAACACTGGATCAAACTCTTTACTCATAAAGGAATAACTCAGCACCTGTATATTATATATTTGTATTTTACAATATATCAATACCCTCTGTGTGGCTCATCATATACTTGTACACAGTTTTTCCCTTTTAATTTTAAATGAAATCTTGTGCATTTAACCCTTTTGTCATGTTAAAAAAATACTAAGCTTTAGAAAAAATATAAAACTGATTTCAATGTATTGACAACATATACTGTTAATTTTAGAAAATATATATAAATTAATAAGAGAGGATTTGTTGTAGCTTCACAAAAGTCCACTCTTTATTTGACATGAAAAACATAGCTGCATATGTACCGATGAAGCTCGGAGGCAGCAGCAGGGCCGTTTCCAGCGGCTCTGTCAGATGCTAAATGTATGGAGGTGGACACTGAACTCAACACTAACCTTCATCATGGTCTGAATCATTTTGTAATTATGAAAAATATTGACCTAGTCTTAATTTAATATGTATTACGGACACACAGTAGGTTTCCACCATGAATGGGTTTGTCAAACTGGAAAACATGTTTTAACTCTCACACAATGCATGCTGGGAAGTCTGCTATTGTGAAACTGGTAAATATTCAGAAAATTATTACAAAATGTGTTTTTATGTGAAAAAGGGAAAACTTCTTTTTAAAAAACTGAGAACTTTATGGTAATTCACAGTGACAGGATTTTCCTCTTATTTTAATTCTGGCATATAGTTCTACATTAGGTTTGAAATTTTATTACCATTTCCATGTATGTTGGAAATGCAGAGAAAATCAACAAAATAAACAGGTACAGTAAAATCTGCACAACTGTTTTTTTTTTTTTTACAATATAGGCATTAGTAAATTCAATCACATAATCTGTAAAAGAGCCTTCAGCTAATTAGCTGACACTCCTTGTATCCAACAACTGATCCTTTTTTCCCCCCTTTCAATTTAATTATTACTTGTATAGCTGTTGCAGTTCAAGCTGCCCGCACCAACTCCCGAGTTGTTTGGACAGCCTATCTAGGCCAAAGTCAATACAAACAGTGATTTTTCATGGCAAGCTAGTCTACCAAACACACAGCAGCACTGCCTAGGCAGAGGAGAGAGAATTCATTGGCTATGTCCAAAAATAGGATGGGAGACGGGCTTTTTATTTTTTCCGTCTACATAATACCAACTGCAACTGGGTCCTCCTGACAGACCTCACCAAGCTGCTGGTGCTGATAACACAGGCCTAGACAGGAAACAATGAAACAAACACTGAAGCCAATTACACAGGCTATGGATAGAGACTAACATTTAGGGAAACACAGCTGACCACGGCATACCCCCAGTCTCACATTAATTACATTCAGGTGTTATTATGCATCACCAGACCAAATAAGATAGAGAAGGATCCTGGGTGACAGGAATAGCGCTAATTGCTGAATGGGATCTTTACAAAAAAAAACCCAAATTATATTATTTTGTGTTTGCAATTCAGTGTCATGCTTTACATCACATTCAGGCTTGTTCTGAGCTGCTGGGGTGATTGAATAGCTTTTTATAGTGGCATGGCATAAGTAGCACACTGAATCACGCCAGTTTTAAGATTTGCATTAAGCCTTCAGTTTTCTAAAAAGACTCAATGCTAATAGTGTTATTAAGTGGTGTTATGTGACTAGTTTAGTGTAAACACGAGACAAGTAAAAGGCACCTTATTGTACGTACGTTTGAGCCCGGAGGAGGAGGAGGATGTGGGAGGTCTGGAGGATGAAGAGGAGGAAGAGGATGATGTTTTGATGGGGAAGGAGGTCTTTCCACGGCGGGAGGACGGAGCAAGCACCCTGGAGCGTTTGACGGGGATCACGGCTCTGGGTGGGGGGGCCACTCTGCCATGGTAGTCAAAAAGCCTCAAGAAAAGAAAAACTTATATTACACTTCACCTCTTCCACTTTTTCTATGGGCTACCATCCTACGGCATTCAGAAAACGTCCATCTGCCAGAGCCAAAAGGTTTTTCGTTTATATTACACCATCACCTCTTTCTAAAGCCTATTATCTATTCTCAGGACTGTGCTCCAATATAGGTTTTCTATGGATTTGTATGGGCTCTTCCTTTCAAACAGCACTCATAAAAGAAAAGGCAGACATTGAAGTTGAAATATCGATATCCCTCTTTTTGTACAACTATCCAGGCTATTACAGGCGTGCAAATAATCCCCTCACATATCCCTTTAAAAGTGAAGAGGACGAAAAGAGGTGAGTGCTAAATGTCAAATGAACGTGTCAGCTTTGACTGTGACAACAGAGGTCTGTCATGACTCTCAACAAGTTTGACATTTAGAAAATGTCTCAGCAGATAAGTAGTCTGATCACTGACAATAAATGACAGACAACAAGTGTTCCTTCATCAGAACATTCAAATAACTTTCTGACAGACAGCTAAGTTGACTTTGTAACGGTGCTTCTGTGGGAAGGTTACTCAGTTATATCTGACAAGGGTGAAGATGATCTTATTAACCATTTGGTTATTAACCCCTAAGACCCTAATACTTGTTAAGAATGTCCAGAAATGTCTCTTGCTTACTTCAGATACTGTAAAAGGTTATGCCCGTTCTGAACCTTTGGGGTAAAAACATATTAGGGTCTGGTGTTTCATAATGAGGACACGTCAAACAGTGCAGGAGTGTGTTTTCCTAATGAGTTTTTAATTGTTTTTGAACAACAATGGAGCTCTGTGGCACAGACAATCTAATTCAGTCTGGCAGATTGACAGACATTAACCATGATTAGGGGCCAATCATTGTCCATTGTATCCTTTGTATATCAAATACTGTTAATATAGAAAATGACTAGCCTTATCATTTAAGTCTGCTCTTAGATTTTTTCTTTATACACAGTGTAGATATAATAATAGGACTAACTACTTCATTGTCTTCTACATGGATCACCAACTAGTATGGATGTCTTCTAGCACAACAGTGCGTATGTAAGACTCTTTTTTAAAATAACTCATTTCAGCCCATCTCCAGTTAGATATGAGAAGGCCAATTAATTAATCGAGGAACTGCTGTTTGCAAGAACGGGGGGGCAATCATGCACCCAGGCTTAACAACCAGCCAATTACTTTCTTATTAAATTGTAAATGTAATAACAATGTATGTGAGTGGTACATACCTGCTGTAGAAATCGTCTCTGTAGTACTCGTAATCAAATTCATAACCACTATGAAAAAGATAAAAAAAACAAACACAGACAAAACATCGAGACAGAGATAAAGAGGGGGTGGTCTGAATTAAGAGGAGCCACTTTGGTTCAGTGAAAAAGAAGCAGATCACACTCAGGCTTTTTTGACTTGAATGGACACGCTCTAGTTTTTACCTAAAGCTCCACACAGGTTAAACAGCAAACCTAAGCCACGCTGACATGCAAAGACCACAGATCAACAAAGAAAAAATGTGTTTCAGAGAAAAAATTCTGACAGAATGAAAGGAAGATATGTTTGGAGACCCTGGAGAGGAAAATCAATGTTAAGTACACACTCAGGATGGCAACTAATTTGGAATTCAGTACAAGAAATAAAATATAAAGAAGAGGCACAGAGAAGCTGTTTTGAAATGTTGCTATTCTCACAGGAATTTTAATTAGGATTAATGTATTACTATTTAAATTTAGAGTAGTGTGATGTTGGTCTTTGCCGCTTCTATTCCTGTTCCATAATTACCATATAACATCCTGGCAGCTTTCAGCTGCAGCTATAAAATGCAAATGAGGGTTTATAACACAATGTATAAACTGATAAATTCATAAATAATATGCAGAAACAGTATATTGGTGAGACTACAAACTTTACAAGTGGACAAAATATTAAGAGTAGAAGGAGAAATGTCCCTGTGAAATCAGAAACATATCTGGTCTTCTGTCACATGAGACTGCGGTAAACAAGCACCGCTTTGATCTGTTTCTGACCAGGATGTGTGTACAGGGCAGAAAATCAGGCCTAATGAAGCTTAGACAACAGCATCTCCTCTGAGCTTCACATGCCCATGTTGAACAAAGTCTAGTCAAGGCTGGGAGATGTGGACAGCCTTAAAAAGTAAACTACAAATTCAGGGCTCAAATAGAAAATAAATAACAGAAATGTTCTTATTTTACCTGTCACCCCACATTTACATCAGCAGGAGAGGCAGGATGTGAGAGACACCTAATGTTATTTTTGAGGAGAGCTACACTTTTACATGTAGGTTGAGGGAAAATCTTACCCGTAAACAGCAGAGAGTGGCCGTTTGGAGCCTGCCTTTGGCCTGTAAGGCTTGGGCTCACCTGCCATGTTTATGTCTGCAAAGAATACATGCACACAGACACATTGCTCATCAGTCATTTATACACTACAGAAAACAGCCTTAAAATAAATCATGCATACACAAAAACTTACCGGTAACAATTACTTTATCGATTATGAGCAATATACACCAATCAGCCATAACATTCTAACCACTGAGAAGTGAAGTGAATAACACTGATCATCTCGTTACTACAATGTAGTAATGAGCAAAAATAAGGACAAACAATATTACACATTTGTAATTATATGTTAATTTGTTACATTTACACATACTATAAATTAATAAAGCACCTATTATAATTATTTCATTATGTAGGTACAGTGTGGATGTGCATGTATGTATGCATTTAGTCATTTAATATATACTCTTCACTAACTTCAACAATTCATTGTGTTTTCCAAGGCAAGACAGGAAACCTTGTGAAGGGAAAAACTACAAAATTAAATTCTAGTTGCAAGGCAGAAGAGAATCCTTGAAACTATAAAAACAATGGGAAGGACATAAGCATATAAAGAGAAACACACACACAAAAAGCTGGATGTTAGGTAAGCTGTGATTCAGAGCAGGTTGTTTGGTCTTTGTGTGAAGAAAAAGTTACCATCAGGTGGACAATAAGCAAAACCTTTCCATTTGCTACCTGTGCATTGTCAAGGGTGGTGCACAGTTCTTGCTTTTTGGGCACTATGGCTGCTGGGAAAAGGGTCACTGGATCAAAGTTAGTAAGTACTTGCTCCAAAATAAAACATTCAATAGTCCAGAAACTTTATGGATGCAGACAAGAAGCCAGATTCCTACGGTTAGGTAGAGTATAGTGCCTGAGAATGACTGAGGTTTGTAAAAAGATTAGAAACATTATCATTATCTGAGGGGAGGTATGATCAGTGACTAAACTATTCTCAAAAAAAAGATGTATCACATAATGGATCAATTGAGGCAAAAGGTTGATGAGGAAAAAACAACAACTTTGTGCATCATCTGAACACAGGCAGAAAATCCCATCAGAATAAAACTTTAAAGCTGAGAACAACAGACCAATCAACAAGGTGCCCTTTGAAGGTGAAGCCCAAACCTGTACCTATAATGAGCTGAGGCACATAGATCACTTTTTTGCAGTCATGTTCTCACTGTCACTTTGTCCCTTCCAGCAATACACATTTGGTTAAATAATTTATGCATCTTCCCAGCCTCCTTTCCCCTCAACACCAAACAAGCTGAAGCGTCCCAGTCCTCGAGAGTGGGACTGCACTGGGGTGAAAATCAGCTCCTGGCAAACTCTTGCCACCTTCTCCCAGTGGCTGCTCTCATGAGAGACATGATTAAACCCTGGTCTGTTTGTATACTCCCTATTTAGACATGCTAAAACATGGGCTTTTTAGCTGCATGACCAAATGAGTATTTGAGTGTTTTTCAGTAATAGTTGTTTAGTCTATATGATGTGAGAAAATTGTGAAAAATGCTCAACAGAAAGCAATGTGACATTTTACAGCTGCATGTTTTGTGAGACCAATGTTGAAAAACTCGTGATACAAAGCAGAGAAAAGGAGCAAATCATATTTTAGAAGCTGAAAAGAGAACTGGCATTGACATATTTGCTTAATAAGTGACTTAGATGAGGGACAAAGCTGATTAGGTTGTGGCTGTTTGTCACAAATTAATCACTTAAAAGAGCTACCTGACCTAAATAATGAATCCATCCATACTTTTAGAGGACAGTAATGTTCAAGCATGTTTTTCTCAGGCTTGCCTTCTACCTTTTAATTGTTGACATGTAGAAATTGTTAATATCAAAGGCACTGAGTTATGGTTTCCACTTTCTATTGTTGCCACACTTTTATTACTAATAAAGAAGATATTTGCAGTGAATGTGCTTAGACCCTGGGAGGTGTTGGTGCATGACTGTTGAGGTTCTTCCCTGGGCACACAAGAGCTTATTAAGTGATTATCATAACCCACCATAAAACCAAAATATTTTCTGAAATTGCTTGAAAAGCAGCTTCAAATACATAAGCATTTTTCAGGACAGCGAGTCCTGCATTCATTGTTTAATTAGTTTTTAGTGTTTAAACGACATCTTAAAATTACACATGCTCTGGCTCTTTTGGTCTTTTAACAGTCAGAACCTCTTACTGTAGCTGAATTTATGTTTCAAAATTTCGACAGGTTATTTTATTTTACTTTTGCTTAATACTTTATTGTATTTGAGTATAGGCATTCCAGTGTTGATGATTACATCATAATGATTTCTCAACAACCTGTGTCTTCTCACCTAAAATCAGAATTATATCAAAATCTTTCTTTATATTTAAAAAAAAAAGTAGGTGAAAATGAGTTCATGTGTGTGGAACGTGTTGCACTGACAACAGTAGATACACTTTAATCCATCTTAATCCAGAATCATGTCAAATGACCAACAGTCTAATCTGGATAACTCAGTTATCTACATATAATAGGGTCCATCCTCACTTCTGCTTGTATGAAAAAGGTCTAAGAACCACTGTTAAGGATCATCTCAGATGCAGCTTTGTATCTATACAACACTAAGGTTTACATGTGGTATGGATGAGATGTGTTTATTTAACATGCATCAGTTACTTTCCTCTTTCCCCTTCGTTTATACCACTGGTTCTTGTGCTTGTTCAACCTGCAGCTTTGTCAGACAGGGACAGGGCTCTTCGTGATGCTGAATGAGTTAGGAATGGGTTTTTAGGTCTGTTGCTCTACTCTGTTTAGTAAGTAAAAAACAAAAGACCTCGACCTTGCAGTTGCATGAATGCACAGATGATGCAATTTGAATCAGGCAACCCTGAAACTATTTATAACAAAGTTTGCGTTTGTCTATGGATACTGAAACAAACACAACCAAGGTGTGAATAAATATTTAAGGGAATTTTTTTTTTTTTTTTTATTGGTTGAGGAATTCTGCATAAAAATTGTTGTGGAAGTTAACTGCAGTAGAAAGACAGAGGCACGGAGTACAAGTAGTCACTGAAGGCAGACCTGTGTTCTTCTGTCAGGTAAACAAGGATCGGTGACTCCCCGAAGGAAGCTGCCTCTGTGCTTTATTGGCCTCATTTGTTGCCTTACATCTCTGCCTGTGTCAGACCGCTCTTGCTCATCCTTCCTGTTCTGCCCTTAGTCTCACCCTATCCCTCAGCAATTCGTTCTCCATCCCTTTCACTTTCCCCACCTCCATCACTCACACATGCACTCTCACAAGATGATATCTAACCGAATCTCGCCATCCGTGACTCTCACCTCTCACATCACATATTTCTTCCTGTGTCTCTGTGCACACAGAGGAAGCTCATTATGGGGCATTTCAGTGCTGAGCATCACCTATGGGGCCTTTTTCTATTTGACACCTGTGCTGCTGACAAAAGCTTTGCAAATCTTATTTTTCCTTTCCTTTTATTAGCAAGGGATGAGTAACAGCAAAGCAATAGAAGGTGAGGCTTTGAATAAATCAAGGCTATAAACTGTGCCATATGGCAACATATTGCAGGAGAGGCTTTGGGACTGAGAAAGTACTCCTGTGAAAATCAACAGGACCCAAAACCATAAGGTGAGGGTGAGAATGCAGGGAACAAGATGGCCCTCACATTTATGGAAGGGATATATAAATGAAACTGGTCTTCCTGAAGCCACAACAAATCACACTACTTTTTCTGACTTTGTTCCTTCTCAAAAAAAGAGGGTTTGTCTTTTCTCTTCCTGTCTCAAATAGAGAAGGGACAACCAGATAACAGCCCAGAGCTTCAGAGGAGAGCTAACAGGAACAGGTAGCAGGGGTCGCTACAAGGTTACAGAGAGGGAGAGATGGACGGATTGTGTCTGGGTGAGCCAAAGAAGCTCTTTGTTTTAGTGTGGGCACAGTGTTGGAACAGGGAAAGGTTCCTGAACGCCTTTATCTTCTGCAAGATCCTCTTCTCATCAGCTGCAACTCTGTTGGAATAACAACAACTCAATCTCTCAGCTTGCAATAGCTCATTTTCACAGGCTTTTCTTTAAAATGCAGCGATAAAACACTTTATGTAAACATATGGCAAGCCGTGTCCACTGATGCAGTAACTCATAATCGAGATAAACAAACATCCAATGCACATTATTCATCAAAAACAATATCATTTACATCTAGAGCACATATAAAAACCCACCAGTGATTCATGCCCTTGTTTTGAATTGCACCAACTATCATGCCAAAAGCACACAAAAAACAGTAATTTGCATGTCAGACTATCTTCTTTTTACATCAAGTTTCTTCAGCAGCAACAGAAAGCCCCACAACCAAAACACAGCTGATTCTCGAGGTTTCTGCTGCTGCAAATGACCCATCTGGCTTCGCGTTGTGCCGCCGCACTGAGACTGTAATTGAGAAAACAATAATTGTTATGAATCAGTTACCACCTTTTATATGTCTGGTACCTCATACAGCAGGGGTTTTCAACCAGTGGTCCGTGGCCCTCTAGTGGTCTGCAAAAACACTGCAGGTGGCCCCTGACCATGCCTTCAATATTGTAGTTCCATTGTAAGAATCATTAGTTTTTTAATTTTGTTATTTAAACACATTTTGATGTGTTACTAATTATTTGTGAATCATCAAATTCACACAAATATATAGGTACAACAGAAAAACCAAGGTGAGTTTCAGGGTTAAAAAGGTGCCCACCCACCCAACAACGGTGGTCCCTGGGTCACAGTTAGCTGAAATCCCCTGTCATACATGATATGACCTGTTTCTTAAGGACACACGGTGCCTTACAAATGCACCATTTAACTGTAGACCTGTTTGGTTTTTGACAAGATATGATATATATTTGGAAAATATGTTGAGCCAACATTTTAGGCATAACAACCGGTGCTTTTGCCCATAAGAAAATGTATTGGATGTTATAAATATATAATGCAGTTCCAAGGTACTGTGGGAGGACTTATTTTGGGTGTCCAGTGTTCTGAATCTAAAAATGTGAGGCTGTTGTTTGGTCTCTTAAGTAA